CCGAGACCGGCTAGCGTCCTGTCCAGGGTGTACCCCCCTCGCGCTGGGACGGGACCCTGGATTGGACGAACTGGGAATGAAACGGGAGGATGGGTTCGGTCTCCGTGTTGTGGCAGTCAGTGAGCGGACGTTGAGCAGTGCTCCCTGCAGAAGAATAGTTGCAGTCGCTCAGTCAAGCAAGCTCTGTCACTTCAGCTGTATGGTCTAACCCTCCCCCCCCCCGTCTCAGGTACATATTGGACCTGTCCAGGGAGCAGGAGACGGGATTCGCCGAGCGGGTGGCTGACATCGCCAGGGAGGCGGGGTTTGAACCGGCAGGGCAGAAGAGTGATGTCATCGCCACGTTCCGCCTCCGTGACCCCGAGCCCGCGCGCGGGATGTGATGGCGGTCGCCTGCTGGGCTCGGACGCCAACCAGGTGGTTCCCCCTTGTTCCCTGGCACGTGTTGGCACAGGGTGGGACTTGAAACCCGCCCCCCCCCGGACTCGGACTGGAACTGGTGGTCTGTCAGTTGAGTGACGGCGCCACTGGGATCCAAGTGGGCGATGAGTGCGTGTGCAGTGAGGTGTAGGTGTGTGTCAACACCAGGGGGTGCTCCTCCCTCCTGCCACCTGCCAGCAGATGAGAAAAGCCAAGCCTGCCTGTTTGAAAGAGTCGCTTCTCGCCTGCTGTTGTAGTGAGCGAGGGTCGGTATCGTACGTGTACTGCCCCGGCAGTTAAGACCTTGAATTTCCCCATTGACGTCTTTCCCATCGAGCACAGCTGTAACATCCTGTCCTGTCTCCCTCTCTCCTCTCTCCCATCTCTCCCTTGTCTCACTCCCTCTCTCATCTCGCTCTCTCGTCTCCCTTCTCACTCCCTCTCTCCCTCGTCTCACTCCCTCTCATCTCTCTCCCTCCCTCTCTCTCTCATCTCTCTCCCATCTCTACCTCGTCTCACTCCCTCTTTCATCTCTCTCCTTCACTCCCTCTCTTCCTCGCTCTCTCGTCTCCCTTGTCTCTCTCCCTCGTCTCACTCCCTCCCTTGTCTCCCTCGTCTCCCTTCTCACTCCCTCTCTCCCTCATCTCACTCTCTCCCTCCCTCTCCCTCCTTCTCTCTCTCTCATCTCTCTCCTTCACTCCCTCTCTCTCTCCCTCGCTCTCTCGTCTCACTCCCTCTCTCCTTCACTCCCTCTCCCTCGTCTCTCTCCCTCGCTCTCTTGTCTCACTCCCTCTCCTCTCCCCCTGTGCCCACAGGAGAGGAGTCCACACACTGAATTTCCTTTTGCCTTTGAACGGACCCCACTGCCCCACCTGGTGGGCACAGGTTTTCAATATCCCCTGCTGGAAAAGTGTAGAATCGATTTTCTAACACGGCCGGGTTTCATCCCCCTACGAGCATGAAAAAACTGGTAAATAAACAACTCTCTACGGCCCCCGGCCTTCTGTCTCCTGCCCCGGTTTTCAGAGTGGCTCTGGGGTGCCGGCAGACAGCCCGACTGGGGGGGGGGTGTCCGGGTGAGAGGCGCCCACAGAGGAGGGGTCCTGGCGTGTTCCACGCGAACACACCGACACGCCGCAGAGCCCGCGGGCGGGCCCCGTGCTCCTCGAACCCGGCGCCGTGGGCGGCAGATACAGGCCAGGGAGACGCGGGCGTGAGGATGACGGAGTTTAATGCGGAAGAGCGGACATGAGGGTTACAGGGGGAGCAGGGGCCCTCCGCGCCCAGAGCGG